CGTATTTCATAAAATTTTTCGTAAAATTCGAAAATTTTTGCAAGTAAATTATTTTTATTCATTTTAAACGCAAAAACGAGGCTCCCCGCCCTTTTTTCTCGCAAAACAATTTTCCACATCTCTTTAAAATTTTTTGATAAAAATCAAATTCATGTTACAAAGTTTTCGCAGATCGTTATTAGAAGTTTTCCATCACGGCGAATTGATTTGAGCGCGAAATATTCCTAATCCTGAAGTTTATGCCGTTTTTTTGTCATAAGTGACTTGGCGGGGAAGAGGGAGCTGGGGGGACGGGCTGGCGTTTGGGCGTCGGAGAGGGGGGAAACCGCCGTCTCGTACATTTTGTGGCTTTCAAGGGTGATTTCCAGTGCTTAGATTAAAATGTCTACTTTCACTTTCGACCAGCCCATCGAACAAAATGGTTTGTGGGTGAGTTTCGGTAAATCTGTTAATAATAATTCTGCAGTTGTTTCTATAATTTGAAGCAATTATTTCGCGAGAGAGAGAGATCGGTTTTATTCGCTATTCATCTATTCATCTGAAAGTTTTTTTATGGCTTTTTGTATATTTCGCTGAGAAACGATATTGAGAAACGCGTTTGACGAATATCAGTTTAGTTTTAACGTTTTAGTCTAGTTAGTTGTATATTTAATAAAATATTATTAAGCACAAAATGTGCATTTACGTTCTAAGACGTGAGAAGGTTGGACTTGAGAAACTGTGGGGAAATGTGGAATTATTATTTGCATTCAGTCGATTTCGAAATGCTTTTGCAGAAATATTTATTCGTCTTTATTTATTTTTTTGGAACCTTGGAGCAAGGAATTAAAGCCATTAAATATTGGTTCCGTTGTTTAATAGTTTTCGATTGTTTGTATTTGCTTCTTTTTTTGAAGCGAGAATTTTTCCTTTAATGAGAATATTTATTCATTTTTCGCATTTTTTATTTACAAAAATTGCAAAATTTCTAATTGCAGTTTTTTGTTTTTATTATTTTTCAATGGCTGACGATTTTTTCTTTTATATATTATCAATTTTATTAAACTCTTTTATATTATATAATTAATTTTTTTACTCTAAGGCTCCTCACCATTACTGGTTAAACTCGCTCCGCTGGCTGTCGCACTAGACAAATGCACTAGGAGTCCCTTGGCGATAGAAGTCAGGTGAGTCGCCAGCATCACCCGGTTATTAATTGCATTATGTTGATTTTTCCAAATTTTTTTTCTATTGTTTATTAAAGTATATAAGTATATACTTTTGGGAAATATTACATCTTTAGTCGAGTTCATTTCGAAATTGGTATTGGTTAGATAAAAATTCTTTTGTGATAGAAGTATTTAAAAGACATGGAAGGTGCCTCTAATTTAATTTATTATGAAAGTTTTCATTGGAAACTTAACATTTTTCTAAAACATGAAACATTTTTTGTTGTTTGGAAAGTTTGCGAAATGTTTTCTCACAATCATTTCGAATTTATTCAGCATACAACAAGTGTTAAATCGATCGTCTTTGTGTTTTTTATAATTTGCATGTTTTTCAAACTGATTTGCAGATATGGCGGCTGGTGACGATGGCGTTCCAACCTTTAAATTAGTGCTAGTAGGTGATGGTGGTACCGGTAAAACAACATTTGTTAAACGTCACTTAACGGGTGAATTTGAGAAGAAATATGTAGGTCGGTTTTTTTTCTATTTATTTTTTGTTAATCTAGCATAACGGAATATAGTTTACCTGTGATTGAATATTAAACAATTGAAACATTATTTCTTTTACGTTGTATTGTATCTTTTAACATTTTTTCTTCAAATAGCTCTCACCATTATCTTACTCTGTTGTATGCAAGGGTAAGACTCCAAGCTCTTCGCTCCGACGGCATCGCTGACAATAAAAAAAGTCATTTTTTCCACCATTCATTCAAAGTCTTTTATAACTGAATTAGTCCAGACCAGGATTGATTTTCCTTGCTTTTGATGCCATCCCTTTGTGAGTGTTTAGCATGTAGCGCAATATATCAACTTCTGTCGTGGATTGCAAAGAAACATTCTCTAACCAGCGCAGGGAGTGATATGTGATGGCAGTATTAATGCAGGTGGATATAGTGTTGTGAGATTTTATCCACCTGTAATATGTAATATGTTGTAGATAAAAGTGGTCAAAAGAAGACTTAATGTCTTAACATCCCCCCAGTCTTATTCACCATGTCTGGCAACCATGTAAATATTCCTCACTTTCGTTAGCAATTTCGTAACGCCGTAAAGATTCCAGCAAGAGAAACGCATTTCTAATTACCGTCACTCGGGTTGTAATTCCGTCTTTCGCTTGGCCATTTGGGATTAAAGTAGATTCAAAGTGTTTAAAATCTGGCATTTCTTTAACTGATAATGGATTGATAAAGATAGGTACTTTATCAGCTTCTAGTATCTAACGAAAAGATTTTCGTTTTATTCACACTAAACATGAATCCGATTCTCGCTGCAATCGCAAAATTTAGCATTTCGTAATAACTGTCAACAAAACTACGTCATCACCGTATTCAAGATTTATAATACTATGATCTGGACTGATGTGTACATCTTGAGTGCTGACAAGCAGTACCCATTATCCAGTTTTTATTTTGAAGAACTCTGTCAATTCCCCATATACACAATCTTGTGCCATTGTATGCTAATAAAATGCCTTTATGAGCCGAATGTTCTTATTTGGGGAATTGATTGAGTTATTTGGGACAGCGTCACACATTTCATCACTTTTCAGAGCGCTGCTCTATCAATTGAATTGAAAGCAGCTGCAAAATCGATAAAGCAAGTGATGGTGGGTTGCTGATATTTGAAGAGATGTTCCAGGGCTCTTAGTGTAAATCTGGTGAGCATAACTGCGTCCCGATCTGAATCCAGCTTGGTTAGGACGCATTTTCATGTTGTCATGAGCCTATTCAGCAGAAGGGAATCAAAAATTTTTCCGGAGATGTCTAGTAAGCTGATTCCTCGATAATTGTCACAGTGCGTCCTATCACCTTTCTTTCTTAAAAATTGGAAGCAAAACTGCTTTGCTCCAGTCTTCTAGTATTGTTTTCTTTTGCCATACAGAGAACACATTTGTTGGTGAGTTATGAATGATGATGGATAACACTTGAAGAATTTGGCCCGAAGACCATTTTCTCTGGAAGTTTTATTGGCTTTAAATTTATAGATTATAGAGATCAGTTCCTCTTCTATTGGCGGTTCGCAGACGGTTGTAAACGTATGATTTGACGAGTAAATCAGCTATTTTTGGGACAACAGTGGGCGCCTCATGGTTGTTTGGCCTCAAAGAATTCAACCTTATTGGATGATTTTTAATGGCCTTAACAGGCGCACCATTATTATCCCGTTTCAGTTCACATCGTACCCCGAGTTATATTTGCTTTATGAAGAAGGCAGGAATTTCCTATTATCACCTAATTGAGCCTCCGTCTCCATTCTCAAGGCCTTATTATTAGGAGATCCAATAGCAGTTTCTTTCTCGCCGTGCTGTTGTTGTTGCCTCCAATCTCCGAAGCCTCCAATAGTGAGGATCTCCTAATTTTCATGCCTTGGTAGCATTTTTAGACGGGCAGTTTGGCAATTATTTCCAATACTCAGCTGGTACATTTCTTACTAGCGTCTGAAGAGGCTGATTTTCAGAGACATGCTTTTGATCGAGATCATTATTCATATCAGTGTTCATCTGTGGTTCCGGAGATCTCACTATTATTCGTTTCAGTGAGGTGTTCCTGTGTTTGAAATGTTTCACTTACTATCCTCGAATCTTTTGGTCTGAGGTATTTGAAAAGATCTTGGTAGGCATTACTTCTTATGACATATCAGTTTTATACGAATCTTGGTGCAAACCATAGTATGGTCTGATCCATATAAATTGCTAATATCAGCACCACGGTGATAACGACTATCTAGTATGGAATTATTTCCACGACGAATGATTAAAATATAATTGGTTATCTGGAGAATTCAGCTTGCCGAGATGTCTTCTCCGATGCCGCAAGCAAATTCATTGCCGTTCGGCAAAAAGAAGGCGTTCTCCATTGGCGCAGTGGACCCCAGTACCATATTTGTCAATTACCGAATTCATTATGACCTACGTGCGCATCCCACTCTCCCTCGATTACCTTTCACCTTTCGGTAAAGATGTTGTTGAAGCTTCACATAGAACTTATCGTGGTCATTTACGCATAAAGTTGGATGATATGCAACTTAACCGAAATCGATAACCGAAATATTGCAGAATTTTCCTTTAAAGCGAATATAGGCCATACAGTCATTTATCGACTTCCACTCATTTCGCCCCGAGTTGTTCGAAACACCACAATAATATAGTCAGTCTCTGCTTGGAACCAGGTTCGTAATTGCCCGAAGTGAGAAAAGCGGAGGAAGACCTCCAGCAAGCAGGAGACATACATATTTAAAAAGTGGGCAATAATCGCTTTGCAACATCGATAAGCATTCTAATATTCATGTTTCTACTCTCTATGCGTGCAGAAAGAGTCGTTTCCCTTGCCAGTTAATCAGCTACTGTGGCTAAAATGCATATTTTCTCAAGCCTTGGATTTTACTATGCTAGGATTGTATATTTATCGTATATACTACTGGGCTGGAAATTTCCTGCGAATCAAGACCAGATTATTTCGTTATAAAATTACTTTGGAATAGATTTACAAGCGGATCCTCAATAGCCACCGAGATTTTCGGTATGATTACAGGTTTATTCCTGTCAAAGATAGAAATAAAGAATAGAGAAAAAAAGTTGAGGAAGGATGAAAAACATAGAAAAAAATTTTTTTTTAAAAACAAGCTGTGGGTGGTATGGATTTTTCTTAACCTCAGGTCTTCTAAAAAATGTATGGGAGCTTGAGGATTTTGGGCAGTTTTTTAGCTATTCTGCATTCTTCTGCATTGAGATCTCTGACGTTGTACCTGGAATCTGTTGAAACCACTTTTCTAGTTCAAGGATCTTAGCGCTTAATGCTTGCAAGTCTTCATTTTCTAGTTCTTCTTTATGCTTCTCGTGCATTTCTAATTTTGATGGTAGAAGTCAGATGTTTATATAACAAAAAATCCAAATTTCTTGATTCAGTATGTTCTTTTTATTTTAGCAACTCTTGGCGTCGAGGTTCATCCATTGGTATTCCACACAAACCGTGGACTTATTCGATATAATGTTTGGGATACGGCTGGTCAAGAAAAATTTGGTGGATTACGAGATGGCTATTATATTCAAGGTGATTCTTAGCTAATTTGGAAATTGAACTTAAAAAATAAAGTAGGCAAAAATAAAATTTAATGGTTCGCAGGGCAATGTGCAATTATTATGTTCGATGTGACAGCAAGGGTAACATACAAAAATGTACCGAATTGGTATCGTGACTTAGTTCGAGTCTGTGAAAATATTCCGATAGTACTTTGTGGTAATAAGGTTGATGTTAAAGATCGAAAAGTGAAGGCAAAAACAATTACTTTCCACCGAAAAAAGAATCTACAGGTAAGTAACTACTTTTCAACAGTTTAATAATTCGATAAATATAAATTATATCGTAAATATTCGTTAATGAAATTAATTTTTCTTAGCCTAACGTCTAGTAATGCTTATAAATTTTTAATCCTGGAAATACTTTGTTCTTATTTCAGTATTACGATATTTCGGCTAAGAGTAACTATAATTTCGAAAAACCATTTTTATGGCTAGCTCGTAAACTTCTCGGTGATCCGAATCTCGAATTTGTGGCTATGCCTGCACTAGCACCACCTGAAGTGCAAATGGATCCAACAATGGTAGCACAATATGAGCAAGAGATCGCTGCAGCAGCTAATGCGGAGTTGCCGGATGATGATGAAGATCTTTAAGCACATTATGTATTCATTTATATTCGATGAATTATTTTTACATATTGATTCAGATTATTACGTTGTTCTTTTGTTTATACAGGTTTTGATGCTTGAATTTCATTTTTTATTTGGCTATTCAACATTCAGATTTCGCTTATTTTCAAGTGTTAATTCGGCACGAAAAATTTCGCTAATGGATTATAATTATTCGGTTGAAACTACGATAAAAAACGAAAATGAGCAAGAGCTGTGACAGCATAAATACTGCAAAATACTGCAAAATATACTTATCCAAAAGATACAGTGCAGTTAATTCTTTCTTGTTGGTTTGAAATGGTGAGAAATGGTGGAAACCTTCACCTTCACCTGAGAAGTCGAATAATTAACAATGCGACGGTACAAGTTGTAGCGATAGCTGCCGCAATAATATTAGCTTTCATTTCTTCGGCTGCTTTTTTTTCTCGTTGTTTACTTAATTCCGCAAATGTTGGCGTTCGAAAACGCTGCTTTTTCTTTAATTCTTCCATTTCTTTTTCAATGGCTGCTTCTTGTTTCAAACGTCGTGCAGCTGCACTGTCCTTAAAATAAAAATGCAGGAAACGGGGTTTGAATAATTAAATATTGTATATTACCATATAAATCGATGAGAATTTGCGTTGTCCAAAATCTGCATAAAATTCATAAGGCATTTCCGAATGATTGTTGGAAGCAGTACTACGTCGACGCAGCCTTTAAAAAATCAAAAAGTTCATTACTACGGAAAAATGAAAACAAATAAAGAACGATATGACCATCTACAACTGAAATAAAAATCAAGGATCGTAAGGGTTTTCCTATTTTCGACTGTTTTCTATTCCGATTAGGTTCCTCCTTTTTTCTAGACAAAAAAGGAAGAGAAGAAGAGAAATATATATGGGACGGAAGAAAAGGTATGAGAGGGGTGGTGCCTCACAAATATGACAATTCTTCGTCTCCTGGAAAAGTTTTCAGCAATGGTTAAGTTCAACAATATTAATAATTTCGGTGAGCTTATCAAATTCATGCGTATTTCCCTATTTTTGAAAAAAGTCTGCAAAAATCCAATTTGGTACCAATTAGTTTGAAATCTAAGGACGTGACTGGGATACAGAATATAAAATTATAGGAAAATACCTTGTGTTGCGTTGGAACTGTTCGAATGTTTTATAATCGATATCGAGGTCCGTGTATCTTCGCGTCTTTGCTTGATATTTGTCGAATATAGAATCAAAACGGAGTGATTTCGGGTTCTTATCCGGACATGTTCCTGTTAATTGCTGTCTTAATATTTCATTATCATATGCCTTTCTTTTCTCAACTGACCCAAGTATTTCATAAGCAATAACAACCTGAAATTATAAATAATTACAAATTTGATTTGATTTAACCTGATCATATCTTTAATATTTATACTTCAGCCTAATTTTAAAATTTTAAATTTTAAAATAGTTATTTCGGGTAACAATTTTGTAATATTGTATGCCTGATCCAATAACAAAAGTAAAAAGATTGGCAGATTGACCGAGCCAAAATCATCATGATAATTCCTGCATTAATAAAAGCATCGGTAATAGAAACGCTTTCGAAACTTGGCATCATCCTTGTAACAACTCTTTCTTATCATATCTTCGAAGCATGCATGGTTTTTGCAAGTATATATTTTGACATTTCCTAACATTATTATATTGTGCTTTGGTCGAATATTAAAAAATATTTTAAACTAACTTTACGAAATTTTTCCGCTGATGATTGCTTATTATCAGGATCAATTTGCCTGTCGGGATGATACTTCTTGGATAATTCATAAAATGCCGATTTAATAGAATTTGCTGAGGCTGTTCGATCAACACCAAGTACCGAATAGTAATCTTCTATATTCGTTTCCACTGAAAAAAATCGACAAAAGCAAAACGAAGGACTTGCCGCTGAAGACTGTATACGTGATGATAATGATAACATCTCACTGATAAAACTGATTTTCATATTTTATATTTTCAAATGATTCGAGAACTCCAGTTATAACATTGAAAGACAGGCATTTGATTAAGATGAGCACAGACTCTGAACGACCAAAATACCAATTTGTGCTGAAAAAAAGCAAAAAAAAAATGAAAACTGATGACTTCGCTGAACTCTTGATTAATTAGAAAACAATATTAAAATATTAATTAACTTTAGTTGCTATTCGAATGGAACCTTTCTAGATATAAAAATAGATAGTATTATAGTATTATTGAATCTAGATTTCCCTGATTATCAGCAACATGTTTCAGTCATTGATCCTGGTGACAGTAAACTGGGCTTAATTAAAAAACTCAGCACTGAGGACACAGTTCTATATCCAAATAATCCTCTGGTAAAATTGCGTCATCCAATAACCAATGGAGATAGACCAAAGAGAAATGGTGAAACCCACTTGTTTATCAACCGAGCCAAAATCATCATGATAATTCCTGCATTAATAAAAGCATCGGTACGTCGTTTGAATAGAAACGCTTTCGAAACTTGGCGTCATCCTTGTAACAACTCTTTCTTATCATATCTTCGAAGCATGCATAGTTTTTGCAATCCCCACAATTATCACACAATATGTTTCAATTCCCATCATGTTTCTTTGATATTCCTACTCACATCTCCAACTCATCCCTTGCAATTCCCAATTGCAGCTGTGGAATGTAAGCACTGCGAAATTTGAAATGGCGTTGAAGAAATAAAGCAGGTGGGTACCAACCCAATCAACCCGCTCTGGTGTTAAAATTACAAAATAGTAAGAAACATATTATAGAGAAAGGGTATAGTGATGCTTTGGGTATGCCAAGGGAGATCTTAACAAGTTTTTAAGCTTAACATAGCAGACTGAGATTTTCCGAGCAGTACAAGTTTTTAGTTTTTTAACTAACAAAAGCAGTAAAGGTAGTTAAGAGAGATCTAAAATCTTAATACAAACAAATAGATTATTACGGTGGGAAAATGTTGGTTAGGGCACATCACCCACCACAGAAGTTACATATATGTTGTTAAACTTATATATATATATATTTCGTTACTTGTGATGGCGTCAATAGTGAGATGGACCCAATCACTGATACAATCAGGAAAGAAACGTATAGATGGACCCTATGACTCGGGGAACGATTAATGAAATGGTAAAGAATAGCAATGGCATACCGATCAAAGGTATTAAGGAATGTCTCATAAGATGAAAAGAATTTTTTGAGGCCAAATTTAGCCATGAAGCGCCATCTGTTACCAATTACCCCTGATATAGGTGATACGTTCGCCGAACCATATGCTTACAATCGCAAGCCTCCAACAGAAAAAGAAATAATCTCTATTGTCCATAAGCTTAAGGCCAATAAGACTCCGAGAGAAGATGGTCTTCGGGCTGAACTCTTCAAATGCTGTCCATCGTCCTTCATAAAGCACCTTCAACAAATGTACTCTCTAGTATGGAAAAAAGAAATATTACCAGATGATTGAAGCAAACCAATTCTGCTCCCAATTTTCAAGAAAGGTGATAGGACAAATTGCGACAATTATCGAGGAATCAGCCTACTAGACGTCTCAACAAAAATTTTTGCTTCCCTGCTACTCAACAGAATTTATGGAAGTACGGGATGCGCCCTAAGCTGGTTTCAGACCACGGCGCGGTTGTGCTGACCAGATATTCACGTCAGATATTTGCAACCCAATGTTTCATCGACTTTACGGCTGCCTTTAATTCAATTGATAAAAAGGCGCTTTGAAGAGTAATGGAACGCGATGATGTTCCAGAGAAAATCGACTCATAAAGGCATTTTATGAGCGTATGTCGGCGCAGGTATATGGGGAACTGACAGACTCCTTCAATAACAACTGGTGTCCGTCAAGGATGCATCCTTTCCCTTACAATATTCAACTATGCGATAGACTGAGTAATGGACACCACTTGTCGGCACTCAAGAGGTGTGCAAATTAGTCCAGACCATAGCATCACAAACGGTGAATACTGTGATGTAGTTTTGCTGACTGTTATGACGAAATGTAAATAATGCAATAATAAATGTAAAATGTAAATAACGTTTAGCAACTGCAGCGAGAATCGCATTCAGCGTCAGTATAAATAAAACGAAAATCTTTTCGTCTTATGTGCAAGAAAATGCCTCTTTTTATAAATTGCCAGTTGAAGAAGTGCCCGATTTTAAATACCTTGATTCCATTCTATTACTAACAGGCTAACTGGCCGCAAAAGACGATATTACAACCCAGATCAGTGGCCTCTAGAAATGCGTTCTTCCGACTGACGAAACCTTTATGGAGCCGATGTGAAATCACCATAAAAACGAAAATGATCCGTATCTATATAGCCGTGATTCATTCGATCTTACTATATGGCTCTGAGATATGGCCATTGAGAGCGGAGGATATTAGGAAATAATCTGCCTTTGACCAGGTAATTTTAAGGGTCCGTCGAGCGGATAAAATATCAAATGATAGCATCTACCTTCGTTCAAATATCACTAGCATTAATAATGTTATCACAGAACATGTATTCGCTGGTTAAAGCACGTTCTCCGTCACCCACCATAGAAGCTGACGCATATTTCATTAAACTGTGTAATTGGCAACGTCAAAAGCGAGGTGGCCCAATGAAGAGCTGGACTGATACGATCAGAAAAGATTTTGAACGTATAAGTGGACCAGCAATATATGGACCAAAAGATTCAAAAAGGAATGGCTCCTATTACTGTCGACGATAGTATCAGACCACGTCGCTTGCATCATGTCTTTGTAGCTGTTGGAACCAGCCTAACTAGTAATGGTGAGAGCTGTCACAAGAAAAAGAAGAAGTATAGATGGACCAACGATATATGAATTTATACGATGGAAAAAAAAGGCTTCTGTCACTACCAATGATTGCGTAGGATCGAACAGCTTGGAGACGACTTATAGCTAAAATAGCCAACCTAGCCAGTCATGGTGAGAGCTTTTAGAAGAACAATGCTGTTAATGGGAAAGATTTCGAGAGCTTTGAAAAGATCCTCTCGGGATAGGTTTTAAGTTTTAGGAGGAGGGCATTTGATGGGAATTGGAGATTTCCACAAAACGTATGGTTTTTTTTTCTTCCCAAACAAATTATTACGAAGATAAACATGAAATATTCTTATTTAATTATACACTCTTTATTTATATAATTATAAAATTTATATAATTATAACTATGAAAAATATTAATCCGATAGATTTACAGAACAGAAAACTGTCGCAAATTGATAAAACAGAATTTTATTTCGAAGCATATAAAACAGTCGAGATTTTCTAAAAACTGCAAATAGCTCGAGATTACGAAATTACACATCCTATTGTTCCCATTAATTTTATCAAAAAATTCTGCTATTTTAAAAGCAAAGAAACATCGATTTCAGCAATAATACTCTCAATCTTACTGAACTAAATCAGCCAATGCACAAATTCAAAACAACATAAGAATGGAGAATTGCTGAGAATACAAAAAAGTGCAAATTTGCTTCATCAATTTTATTTGAAATAGTCGAATTTATAGTCCGATAAACTCGAAGCGTAAAATTACTTTAAATAGTTAAATACTAGTTAACGATTAGAAGTTCAAAATCAAATAAAATTGATTAATTAATTAAAATTATGGACAAAATGCTTCGAACATTTATAAAAGGAGAAATTACAAGTTATAAATTTAATCGCCAATAATGGATTTAATAAATATGATTTGGAATTATTCTTCGCATAATTTTATGCAAAAATATTTTTCTCCAAATATATATATAAAATTGCAATACGCAAAAGGAACATGAAACTTTTAATATACAAGCACGGATTATCAAAATGAAAAAAAGCAAGTTCAAAATAAATCAGGAGAAATAATTTAAGTTAAAGGACAAAAACATCAATGCAGTCATCTTCCTCCATACCAAGAGATTCTGGAGTATCATCATTTTCTACCTGATCGCCATCGAAATAAAATTTTAATCCTTCTATAGCGAGACTATTTTCTTTAGCAAAATTTTTTTTGATATTTTCAAAAGCTTGCGTCTGTAAAACAAAGGTCCAGATGAAATAATTAAATATACTACAGTTTGCAAGTAAAAAATGGACCGTGAATTTAAAATGAAAATCCATATTTAAAGATTTTCTATTAGCAAAAAATATATATTATATATGTCTCGAAATGAGATGTTTTTTTCTAAATTTATTATTTAAAACTAGTAACTTCGACCGTTAAAAGGACCTTTTAATTAATTTAATTAATTCTCTGCTGATTCCATTAACATGTTAATAAACCATTAAGGTCTATTTACAGATTTGTATGTTATTTACACTTCTTAAGAAAACTGTTTTTCTCTTTCTTATTATGCAGCCAAGGCACCAAGCGGTAGGGTCTCGATATCTGAATATGTAATATTTTTTTGTCTTTAGGGTCTTTAGGGCCTTTTTTTATTTGTTCATCTCTTATTTGCTTTTGCAATGCTTGCCTTGTTAGCCTTTATTTTTATTTTATTTATTTTATATCCAATATTATTTTTTTCCTCATTGGTATATTATTACGAAGTTAAAAGTTAAGAAGAAATTAAAAGTTTGAGGTTCGATTACCCAAGTCTGAGGCAGAAAATAAATTTTTATTGATATGTGAGGTAAGCAATATTACTACTACTAATACGATAAAGCAACAAGATCAACTGTTTTCTAAAATATTACCACGTGGCAGGCGAGCATCATTCTGCTGTTCATAAATTTATTATTTTATATTTTGTATTATTTTGTATTATATTTTATATTTACAATATATTTAATGAATTTTATTTCGTCAAAATTATTAGCCAAAAATAAAGAATATTATTAGCTACTTGGCTATTTAATTTTGGCTATCCGGCAAAAAACATAAAATTTTCTAAATTTGATAAAAATAAAAATTTATATAACAGTAAAATAAAAATACTACCTTGCAAATAAAGTTAACGAATATTTTTTCACGGCACTGCAGCTTAACCTTAATGAAATTATAATTTTGCGACATGCCACTTCTTCTATACATTGAAACTGTGTTGATTTCTTCTATGCTAAATCCTAATTCTAACGGGCTTTTATCTTTATCCAAATCTCTTCCATTTACTGATGATAAAGAAACTTCCGTCAAAGGACAATCCCATTTTTTGCCATATTTGGATGCAAGATCGATAAGCGATTCATGCTGAAATAGGATTTTTATAAAACTTGCTCAAAAGTTTGGTGCCCGCACATTTAAAAAAATATATTTGTTATAAATGAAAAAATTAGGAAAACAAACCATTTTCCATCGCACAATTTCAGAATCAAGACTTTCCAAATCATTAATTTCAATGGAACAATGAGGTTTTGAAACAAAATTATTGTTATGCAGAGTGAAACAATCCATAGAATCATTCAGTGACTGAGGTATTTCTCTCCTAAATAACATAGGGCATTAACAGTAAGAGTAGAAGTATTACATGAACTTAAAAACAGTGGTGAAAAATTTTGGAAAAAATTAAATCACTTTTTCAAATAGTTATTCCTCGATTTAGAAAGAAGTTTATTTTTTTGATTCTTCTTAAAAATGGGATCAATTTTCTCTGTCTGATTTATAGTTTTGGTAAGAAGTTCACTCTTTCCTTTCTTCAAAATAGAATTAATTTTGTCTATATGAGCATTTTTTTTCGACTGTACTAGATCTTTATCAATATCACCATCAGTTTTGCGTTTTTCTTTTCTTAATTTCTTTTTAATTAACTTCTGCACAATATCATCTTCCAATTCTTCCAATTCGCCTAAAATAATTTTAGAATTTACCCAAAAAATAAATCACATTTTTTCCAAATTATAATGGTTTTGCATTTTGAAATTAATGGGAACTTTATAGCAAAATATAGCAAAATTTTTTACAAATAAAAAACAAAATATTATAAATAAATTATAAATTTTTATTTACGAATAAGTACTAATTAAAGAAAATTATTGGCTTTGGAAATCCTTTCGTTAGAAAGCCACTTGAGGAAGATTACGAAAATAATATACAATAAAAAATAATATATTAAAAATATTATATTTAAAAATGATGAAATCGGAACTAAGAGAATCTTCGAGGTCGGAAACTTCTTTTTTCGAATTCAGTTGCTTCAATTGAGCGTCATTTTGTTGTGTTTCATATAATTTCCCTTTAAAAAAAATGCTCGTAAAATGCGAAAAGAAATTACATTGAATTACAATGATTTATTTGCGAAACTTTCAATCTGCGAAAATAAATTTGCGATAAAAAGCTCGAAATTTTCATCATTTTAATAATTCTTAACTTAAATTCATATTTCAAAATGAAAAAAGATTAGAGAAAAATAAAGAAAATGAAGGAAATAAATTAATAAAATAGAAGCTGAATGTATTTGATCCAAAAAATTTGAAAAATCTTCAAAAAAAAAACCTTCAAAAATTTAACATCACTCGCAAATAAATAGGAATAAAATAAATATAAATTAATTTATATAAAATATTAATTTTAATATTTTAAAAAAGAACAAAATAAACCAAAAAAATATGGCTAATAGAAGAAATATAAAAAAAAAAGTGTGGCTAGCGCCCATTACTTCTGGTTAAGTTCGTACCTGTAACTGCTAAAACTTTGTTATCAGAGTCACCTGACGATAAAAATATAGGGTTCTTGAACAACGGATTAAATCTTGCCAGAAAGAAACAGGATTAGAACTCTGACGCTAAAGGTGATAATCTGAGCAATAACCATCTCGCTTGCCTCCGTTAAGAAAGAATCCATAATGGACTTTTTGGAATTTGAACACATTTTTTCGACTAATTGCAAATAAAATTTAAGAAAAAAAACAAATTCAAATAAATTAAAGAATAAAAAAAGTCTGAAGAATTACTTGATTTAGATGAAATAACTGTCATCTCTTCTCGATTGGCCATTCGCTTTCGTAGATGTTTTAAAGGATTATCAAAAAAATCATCACTCCCATCCGAATAAGCCGGTGAGTCGCAACCAGTATTCGAAGACATCGCTTGAAGACACCTCTCTCTAAAACGTCACAATTCCATAGCACCCCTCAGATAACATCTCTCCTGCTTCACCTCACTTCGACACCGTCCACTCTTTCTTAAGATGTTCACTTCGAAAGTAAATTTCGCGTAGGTTTTGAAAGGTAAACTTTTTGTAATTTACGCCAAAAAAAAGAGGCGAAAAATCCAAAATCTCTCGAAAGAGCAAAAAATAAAATAATAAAAGATATAAAACAATATTTCCTACTTTTTTCTAAATCTTTAATGTATTTTTAAAATATATTTACAAATTTAAATTATTTCTGCTATCTATTTAATAATTTTTGTGTTTTTTTCCGCTGCATATGCGAATGGAAAAAGGGAAAAATTCAGTCTGAGAAATAGAAAATTCAGTCTGTTCCACCTTATCAGATTTGTAGGAGCCATGAAGATACGAAATAAACCCCCTCCCCCCACCAGAAAGTGCGAGAAAAAACTGCCACCATTTTCCAGAAAATGATTAATATAGATTTTTAGATTCACAGCCCACGCACACTCCTCACAAACGTCTGAGCGGTGAAATTGCGTGGCCGGGCCGCAAAGCATTTTGCAGATTTATTCCTGTGCGTAATACTTTTTAATTTTTATTTTTTGGTTGTATTTAAATTATTTGGTGGTTTATCACTGCTTATTTTCAAAATCGATAATTCGAAAATTTTCCTTAAAATTTCGATTTTCAAGTTTTAATTTTATTTTGAAAAAATGCGAATTCTACAAATTCGTTAATTTATTAATTTTTTTAAAAAAAACAGTGAATGAATTCAAAATAAATTATTGAATATTGCTGCATAGATTTGATGGGAAATTTTTTCAAATCTCCCTACTAAGAGACAGAAAAATTATTTAATTTAAAATGGCGTCGAAACAGCGCGAATGGGGGAGAACGGATCGGCGCGTTGTTAAAAGGCAACGGCAACGAAGCGGGGTCGTCTGACGGGGAATGCATTGTTGCAGAAGTTGTGGACTGACTGAGTTTAGGAAGTGAAGTTGATCGCAATGGAGAGTAGCAGTAATGAACGGAAACGCATCGCTGCTTTGCCCGGCTTTTGCTTTTGAATAAGCAAGCAGTGGAGGCAGTTCTCGGTACGCTGGATCGCTGGATTGAAGCACGGGCAGTAACTGATCCACTGAATGAACGTTCATTTATACAAATACATTTCCTTATAACAGCTCACACCATTACTGATAAGGCTCGCTGCAACGGTAAGGCGTTTCCGATGCTTGTGCGATGCCATTCCTAAGAGTAACGAAGCTGCTCCCTTTTCCATTCTGAATCCGTAGATCAATGGGCCGCCTATATGCTCAAAATCCATCGTGGTGGCATCAATCCAGGTCTTGATTGCTCCTCATTTTCGACGCCATTCATCATGAAGCTTAACATAGCATAACATGAAGATATGCGTCATGGAGCAGTCAGCTTTTGCGATGGGCGACGAAGAACATAACCTAACCAGCGTAACCGACGCTCCTAGATATAATTTTTATAAGCTAGATATAATTTTTTTAGATATTTGTAAAAGGCTTTTTATTATTTAGTTCAACTGTTTAACAGAGAGAATAGCGAATCAGAGATGTCCATCCTGGCTAAAATTGCCGAAATCGAAGCCGAGGTATGGTTTGGTTTTGTGACGTATGCTCTTTTATACTTTATTAATTCCACTTTTAATTGATTAAATTTTTTTATTATGCTTTTGTACTTCACTTAATAGTTTTGCACTTTATTACTTCGGTTCTTGGTTGTTTATCAATTACACCATCTCATACACATCGTTGCGAATTTCAACACCTAAAGAAAGAGAAAAAGAACCAAAGATATGGTGCAAACGATTTGGTGTCCGATAAACAGCGAGTTGTTTTATATATTATTTATAACAGTTGCGAAATCCATTGCATTTCTTTATAAATTATATTTATATTTATTATTTATAAATATTAATTATATTTGTTAGCACACACATAGTTATTACAAATATTTCTTTGCAAATTTAAATATATGAATGTAGTTGGCGAGTCGCCTGCACTGTTATGCGATTATTGTTATAGGTGTTGAAATTCTATAGTGGTAAAATTTGCCTGGTCCAATAAGCCAGTGGAACTAAGTAGAATTGGGTGAACACTCATAACATCATCATCATCAGAAAACATCAGAAAATAACATTAGAAAAAAAACATAGGTAAACTTTGGAAAGGTCACAATTGCAGTTAAAACTGAATTGAAAGTAATAGAAAAGTAACAGAAATATTTTCAAAATTTAAAATTTAGCAAAGGCTTTTAAAAATTCAGTTAAAGAAGAAAATATTCGGTAACTTCTATATATATTCAAGTAAAAAATTTTATAAAATAAAAGCGAAATTGATAATTATGCTTGAAGATTATTTGATGTGAGTTAATGATTATGATCCTGTTAATATTTATTTAAACTTTTTATTTTTATATAATATAACTTTTACTTGATTGCAACATTTTTAAAATTTTAAAATTTTAATATTCTATTCTTATTTAACAGTTTTAAAAATTAGAATTTTTGTTATTATAATTATAAAAAATTATAAATCTAATAATAAAATAATTTTAATTGACAATAAGATGTAATAATAATTAAAATTCAATATATTTATTAAAATTTAATACGAACAATTATTAGTATTGAATAGAATATTATTTTCAGAAGTAATTTTTATGTTATAGATGGCTCGAACACAAAAGAACAAAGCAACAATGGGACATCTGGGAATGTTAAAAGCAAGAATAGCAAAACTTCGTCGAGAACTTATTTCTCCAAAAGGTGGCGCTGGTGGTGCTGGCGAAGGTTTTGATGTTGCAAAAACTGGTGATGCAAGGATTGGGTTTGTTGGTTTGTTATTTCTTTTTTTATATATTATCCCTTATTTTTAATGCTTCTTCTGACACTGCTGGTTGTCATACTTCTTTTCCAATTGTTATTTGATATTTCATGGCGATAATGTTTAATTGCTGAAAAGTTTATTCAAGTAAAAAATTTTGAATTTCCATTTGCTGCCAAATTATCTGACAGCGAATATTATGAGGCCAAATAATTTTTTAAAAAAATTTCATATTTATTTTTGTTTTTTTCCTTTTTTTGCAAACAATTTTAGCTGTTTTTTAGAATTTTTAAATCATTGATTTTGCAGTAATTTTATTATTAAATTAGATTAAATTTAAAATAGCTTTAATGGCAATGAGTAGCGACAATTGAATTGGATTGGTAATTAATTTTAATCTTCTAAATTTAAATATTTTTTGAAACGTCAAGTTTGCCCTCTATATTAAGATAATGCCAGATAAAGATCATATTTTTCCATGTTTTTTCGGCCTCTTCTTCCCATTATTTGTCATTTCTCTTTCATTTCTCTACATTCTCCTTCATTTCCCTTACTATTTTTAATAGCTATCATATCTCTTTATTTTTTCTTTTCAGTGCTCTTTCTTTATTCGTAATTAAAATCCATTTCTCATCCATAATTCGTGTGATTTTCTTTCTTCTTCACTATTCCCATCACTATTTCCCACTTTTCATATTCCTATCACTGTTTTCTTCATCAGTAAATAAAAGTTGCTGTGGACGAGATAAACGAAGAGTTCCTATTCTCATTTTTACAGTATTTTTCCTGAAGAAATTATATTAATTATTCACTAGCCTTTCTGTTTATTATTTGTTATTTATTTATCGTTTCTTTCACTTTCATTTCAATTTTCATTTCACATGAATAGGATGTACTTTAATTGTATTTTAATTTTATTTTTAAACTATATTTTTTTACCTCCTTTACTCTTTTTTACCTTCTTAAACCTCCTTTTTTCTTTGATTATTTAAATTTCTTTCTACTGAGTATAAAAATTTATAAAAATTCCTTCAAATCGCCATCGTAGAATTTTTTATTTATTTAATTTTTATTAAAATTATTTTTAGATTATTTCCTTTTTGAATTTTATTTTAGCTGAGCTATGCTTAACAAAATTTTATTTATAATTTGTAATTTTATTATTATTTATATTATTTATTTATATTATTTATAATTTTTTTATTATTTTCCGCATTTTTTTGCGAAAAAGCTTGTTTTTGAAAAATATTTTCGAAATTATTGCAAATTTTTTTTCTATGAATTTGATTAATTAAGTCATTTTTAAAATTTTCGTTTTTTGGCTTTGAATAGTTTTCCTGTTGTTGAGTGTATTTCTGTTTAATGGACTTTATTTTATTTTTCTTTACGCACTTTTCATAAACAATATTCACAATGACATTTGTTAATAATGAGAATATTGATTAATATAAAATTTTTTTCTAAACGATTAAATTTTCAAATTTGGCATTTTTTTTTTAAATATTCATATATTTTTTACAATTATTCATATGATTGTTAATCATTTGAATCAGTTTTATAGTACACATAGTACATAATTTATAGTACACTTTTCTTTTTCCAGATTTATTCATAAAATTAATATTTTTCCAAAAAAGCAAAAAAGCTTATTAGAATTAGGCAGTTTTTTTGCCAGAAATATTTCAGAAACAATAAATATAATAAAATAGAAAATATCACAGAATAAACTAGCTGTATGTATACCAAATTCAATTAACTAATTATTGGAATTTTAAAAATCACCAATGAAAGATTTCAAAAAATAATTGCATAGCGAATAGTTAAGAAACAATAAGGCAAACTGCACTTGTATATATTATCAAATTATCGCTTATTTTATTAAAATTAATAAAACAAGTAATAAAATTTAATAAATTGGATGATACTACTTTTTTATATAAAAATAAATAGCAAAATTATCATTTTTGAATTTTTTTATTCAGTAATTTTTCAAATTTAACTTTTCAAATTAGAATTCAGATGAAAACGAATCGTTTACCAGTTGTCTAGAAGTATTAAGATCAGCTATGAATATTATTTATATATGCAAATGAAGGTTTTTTTTTCTTTCAATCAGATACTATTCGGTTATGTAGACAGCGTTGACGAGGATCGTTACGTTTGTTTTCCTTTTTTCTTCTATTTTCACCCTCTGCATAGTCTCCTATTTTGATATTTTAATACTAATAAATTATTAAAAATACCAATAATTACCGTTAATTTCTTTCATTCTAAAATCTTGTAATCCTTTATTTTTTCTGCAGCCCTTCTATTCCCTTATCACAAAGTGCTATCCGCACCACCATAAACTGCCTAAATCATAATATATACGTTCCGTTACCTTTCGGTCATTTTGGAAGTGTCAACTATGAATAATAAAAAAGAGAACCCTCTATTCGACATTGACTTGGCTAATAAACAATTACAATAATATATATTAAAAACAGTAATAATAAACACAGTAACAACGATAATAATAGGCGAAGATTCTGAAAAGTAAAGTTAAAGATAGTAAAAATAAAATTATTTTGTGGATATATTATGAAAAATAGAGAACTTATGAACGATTTGACTATAGTATTATATAATATTTTCTCCCCTTAAACAGATTTTCGCTAAATAAATTGAAAATGGACATTTCTTTGAACAGTTCGTTTTTATGGACGACACTAACGATAATATTGTAAATTCTTTTTCTAATATTGTTAACTAATTAAAAATAAGATAATGTATTTTACTTTTTTAGGTTCTTTTTTAGGTTTAACTTACATTTCGGACTGAGTTAATTTAAGGTAATTTATATGAAAAGAGACAATGTGAAAGTTGGAATTTGTTCGAAGTGAAGCATTTAATCTTATTTTGTTTTTTGTATGTCTGAACAGAGTAAAAATTAGATAAATTAATTGATTCCCCTAATTCGTCAAGCGACAAACTAATTTTATCGTTGAATTTATCGGTTTGCATGGCTAACATTTGTTTTCTTCAGTGATTTCACTACTTATAAACAAATATATGTAAGGATTTGCCATACTTAACTGTTCATGTTGAATGTTGAGCAACTTCTTGGTGACAAATCCATGGAATTATTCGATGTCAATGAATTAGATGAAGATGAAGAATTTGAAGAATTCTGATGGTGATTTGGTGATGGTTGTGGTGACTCTTGAAGTTTTTTGTATAAATAGCAGCCATGAGAATCACTGATATCTTCATGATCATCATTTTCACTGTCGTAATAATTAGCTGTAGCATCTGCAGTATCATTTTTTTCCTCATCTAATAACGGTGGTGATGATTGGTCAAGTTGTTGTTGGTGCTGTTGTTCTTGATGGTGTAGGTCTTCTCTGTCGTCTTGAACTTCATCTTCAGCAAGTTTGTAGTAATAGTCGATATGATCTTCATTATCACTTTCACTTGACCAATGCTCAAATACATGAGCTGTCCTTGAACGAATTACTTGATTTTCGGTGAGATAATAATCATTTTTCGGTGCTTCAAACTTTCCTTTGTTGCAGGCTATTTGTCGTACAATATTCGGTGTTTTTAGATTTTTTTCATCAAATATTTCTGGAGAAATTTGTGAAATTTTAGTTTCAGGGATCGTTACTGCTGTTGTTTGCAACGAATTCAAATTTTTTGAGAAATCATTAATGGAAATTTGTTCTGCGGGTAATTGCGAATGGTCGCATTGGAACATTCGTGGAGTATATCGTATTAAAGGTATTCCACCATATTGTAAATAATTTTCATCAGTTTGTTGGCCTTCACTTATCAGTAATTCTTTTTTATGGTGTTTGTGGAAGGAATGTTGTTGGTTAGTATAATCATATGCGCTGTCTGTTCTCATTTTACAGCTTCCATAATTAGATAAGTTGTTATGCGAACCTCGAAGATTACTTTCACATTTTTCATGGCGTTTTTTCGCTATATATTCCCTGAAAATATTAAAAAAAATGAAAAATATATGAAAATTTTCCCAGGAAAAAAGATGTTCCGTGAAAAATTAAGGAAAAAGTGAGTAGGTAAGGTTTGTAATAGTTGTTTTAAAACCGAAATTTTGGATAAGAGCTCCCTAAATATTAAGAGAATTTGTGGATTTTAGGAAGAGATAGGCAACGAATAGAAAAAGTTGCTTGGCGCATATAAATTATTCCCTCAGGAAGACTTTTATAGATCCAATAACTGGTCGCTATTTCAAGCGCACTTAACCACTTTTAAATGATCGATTTCGGTTTTTCCATTCTTTCTATTTGAAAACAAACGTTTCTAATCAACTTGATATGAAATTCCAATGAGATTTTTTCATTATTTATATAGTTTTAGATATATATAAAATATGTATTTTTAAAAATTTTCAGGAGGTGAAATTACAAATTTTCTCTTGAAAATCATCAGTTATACTTTTATTAAATCATTTTAAAAAATAATTTTGTATAAAAACCTTTAGAAATATTGTTTTTTTTAGAAAAAAAAAGGTAAAAAGAAATTTCTGCAAAGTTTCTTTTAAATTCAAAACCTTAAATTTTTTAAAAAATGCAAAAAATTATTAATCAATCGAGGGAAGGAAAAAATAATTATTTTAAATTATAAAGAAATTATACTTAAAGGAAACATTAAGCATTTGCCATTAAAAAATCAGAAATCTGGGGAAAATCGAAAAAAAGAATTTCATTGATTTTAGGCGAAACGAATCGAAGTTCTATGAGAACTGCAAAAGAAGACGACGAAATTTGATTTGATTTTAGTTAATTGAGTATAACTTTTGTGCAAAAAGTGAATTAAATTTATTAAAAATTTATTAATAAGAAATAAGAAATTTAACTTGATTTTAAAAAGGATTATTTTTAAAAAAAGGAAATAAAAAGGTTTTGTTGAAAAAAAATTAAAACTTTTCTGTTTTTTTGAAAAATTTTTAGGAATTTTTATTTTGGCGAAAATTGTGTTTAAAGTAAAAATTATTTATTATCATTTCGATCATTTTATTTGTCACAAAAAATGCATGGAAAATTGGATAAAAATCGGCGAAAAATTTTTCTTTTTTTTTTACTTAAAATTACTTAAAATAATAAAATATAAAAAGAATATTTTTTAAAAAGTTTAAAATTTTTAGTAAATTAAATTATTAAACAACTATTTCTATTTAAAAGTGATTTTTATGAATTTCTATTTTCAGTAACTATAGGTTTGCTTCTGCGAAATTTATTTTTCCGATATTAAAGAAAAAATCAGTTAAAATAAAATTTCCTATGGAGTATCGCTTCGCACACAAACGACTGGTACAATACTATTGTATTTAAAAAAGTTTTTCATCTAATTTATGCAGTTTGCTTCGATTTAATGTGAAATTTTTTGTGCACCAAAAATAAATGATTAATAAAAGTAGGTTTCGTAGGATAATAAATTCATGAAAATGATTTTATGAAAATCGGCAACGATAGGGCAATAATTCATTGCTCGCCCCCTCGACTCCCCCACCTCTCCCACCCACCCTTCCACCCGCACCGAGTATTCTCCGTTTTTGTGGAGTTATTTCATTTCATTTCTTTCAGTGAAATTTAATGATGAAATTTAATTCAAAAACATCTTTTATTTCAACAATAAAATAATTTATTTTCATGGATGGATGGAAATGTCCCTTTTGGTAGTAATGATAATCATCATTATCACTATTGTTATCATATGGAATTTCACAAATAATTTGTTTGTTTTGCGAGAATTGCAATTGCATTTCATCGGGGAGGGGGTTAGTTTTTCGATGTTATTGGCTTTTTCGCGATTTTTTTGCGGTGAGATTGTTTGATGAGAATTTTACAGAATAATACAAAAAAATTTATTTCCCTAGTAACCAACTGTCGTCGTTTAAAACTAATTAACTGATTAATTTATTAGCTTATCAGTCGTTAAAATGGAAAAAAAACATTAATAGTAAAGCGCCTGGGTGCTAGGCCTATGTTTGGACCTAAGCCTAGACCTAAGTATTGTATGCTAAAAAATTGCCTTATTTCTACTAATGTACTAATAGTCATTGGAGGGAACCAAATTAGAAATAGTGAACAATATAGAAGAGGAAGAAAAAAAACAAACCTGCAAACTTTAATTGCTGCAATAATATAGGTGGTAAGAAGAAAAGCAGCCGTTGCTCCTAAAATAATGTATAATTTCGAATTGTTATTAGTATTCATAGTTGGCGAAGACGAGGAAGTACGAATATTGTCATTTCGTATCGTTTCAATAGCAATTCGTTCAATTCGTACGCCACCAAGAACTCGTGATAACGATGGTACTTGTGCTGACAAAACATATTTCACTTTGACTGCATCAATTAGGTCATTTGAATTAAAGGTTTTCGATAAGTTATGATTATTATTATTATCACTATTGGTTTGTCGTAAGATAACGAAAGCGATTGTTGTTGAACGATCGAAATCTGTTGTAACGTTGAGGATAACGATATTTGCCTGAGTAAAGATTCTTTCAAAATTAGTTTGTCGTTGCTGTTCAAGAAGTTGTTTAAGAATTTCTTTTTTTTCGTCATCATTATCCATTCTTTTTCTACTAATTAATGAATTTTTATTCGTTATTATTACCTTATCAAGACGAATCGTTGTTGCTGGGCATTCATTTATTTGTTGCTCACAGTAATTTGTCATTACATTTGCTAATCGACGTTTAAGGTACGATTCGTATGTTTCATTTGTATGCAGCAATGCTTGTAAATTAATACGACGCATTTTTAAGAGAATCGCTGAGATTTGTTGACCAACCTGAAATTTTTATATTGATCGAGTAAATGGTCATTGGTTCTGGTTAGGTTCGCTCCAGTGGCTTTTAGTAAAACTTCTAATGAGAAATTTCTCGGAAGGAGTAACTTGGAAGGAGCCACAGATGGATCGCCAGCATTACGCCGGGTTTTTTAATGGTTGTCCCGGATTTTATGTCCCAGGTATAATCCGGATATAACCTAGAACCTGATGGTAACGTAAGTAGAGACCACTCTTCTCTTTTCTTACATTAGATCAAATATTTTCTTTTTATGACTGAGAAATTAGAATAAAGTGGATTTAATATTATTTTTATTTTATGTATATATATATGATTTACAAAGTTATTTTTTTATGATATTTTTAGAAATCTTTTTCAGTTAATAATTAAAAAATTTTTTAAATTGAGAAATCTAAAAATGAGGCTAAAAATCTAAAGTGTTTCCGAAATTTTTTGCATAATTTATGCTTATACCACTTTTATAAGTTATTAATTCTTATCATTATTCTCAGTTATTGTCATTTTTATTTTATTGTGAAGGTAAAATAGTCGAGTAAGTTATTAGTCGAGTAAGTAACTTTAGGTTATTTATCTCAGCATCGAGAGAATCCGAGTGCTTGGGATCTTCTCCGTATTCCTATCCCCATATGATTAACTCATTCCTGAAAATTTTATTCTATCTATATTGACAACCATTTAGCAAGTTTAACCAGAAACAATGAACGATAACCATATATATATATATATATATTATATACATATATAATAGAAATCAGCACTGGTAATAGATGTTATAGCAAGTGACAGGAAGGTCAGGCAGAATGGATATGAAAAGTTAGAGAAATGCCAAGGGAAAAGGAACTGATGTGGAAAGTAAAGGCGAAAGTAATCCAGCAATAATTGGAGCACTTGAAAATGTGACCCATAAACTAGAAAAGTGGTTTCAACAAATTCAACAAATGATTCTCAGATATTCTCAACATCAAAAATCTCTATCCGTACTGCTAGGAACAATTTTTTATTATAAAATATATTTATAATATATTATATTACAAAAATCCTTTTCTCATTCTCTGTGGGTTCTAAAGATCATCCTCAACCTCGGGTCCTCTATCAGAGGCCTAGGAAATTGAGGGTTCTGCGCAATATCTTAGCTGTTCCTGGCACTTTGTTCTTTGAACAAAGATTTCTGACATCTCTTGAAGTTACTTTTCTAGTTTAACGGCCACAGTTCCAAGTGCTCCAGTTTTCACTGGACTACTTTGGTTTTTACTTTCCACATTTTCTCAATTCCTCTTACAGACCTTGGCATTTATATATATATATATATATATTTGAAGGTTTGAAGGTCTATGAGTATATAGAAATGTGATTTACCTGTATTAATTCATTGCATAGCGGATAATAATTAGGAGCATTAGAAAAAAATTTTTGGCAAACACATGCATATTGTGTTCCTGAATTACATATTAAATCGGAAGATGGTGATGATGGTTTAATTAATGCAGATGATAAGGATGAATGTTGATAAGAATGTTGTAAGGATGTTGATGATGCCGAGGAATATGAACGAGCAAGAATTGAAACAAATGTTATCGTTAATAATTTAATTATTTGATTTGTTAAAGAATGATAATAAGGATTATTATTGCTTGTTATTATCATAGTAAATATTACTACTTTTATTAAATATAGAAATAGTGGCAGAAGTTAAATTGTCAGTCGAAGTTTTTAGCTAATAGCTGAGTAAATATAAGGCATAAGAAAAAGGAAGGAAAGGAAGGAGGAGAGATATAGCCGTAGGCAATTGGCGACGAAGATGACGACGACGATGACAGCCGCGATGATAGCGGCAGCGTTTTATTTATATGAGATATATATGTATGTGAGGAAAATGAGTCTTGCTTAGTTATTGCTTTAGGCTTGGATTGGTTGGGATGGATGGATGGACAGATTCTGAGAAGAAAACGATAACAACTCTCACGATTACTGCTAACAACACCACACACACACACACATACACATTCATAAACATACACACACATGCACACACACACACACACAAGCGCACATAATTTTTATAAGCTTCTTTATTTCTTTCTCTTAGAATTTTTCATTTTCGATTTTCATAAGCATTCATTCTTTAGTATAATTTTATTACTTTATTACTATCAATTTAAATTCCTTATTTTTTAGTGTTGTTATTTCAATATGTGCTATTTATATATCACCACTTTTATCACTTTTATCTTAAACTTTTATTTTTCGAAGATAATTAGTGATTAGTGATAATTAGATAAGAAAAAAACGATGAAAGTGATATTCTCATATTAATATTAATATCTCTATAACAATTAATTTTATTTTCAATGATAATGGCTACTGAGATGGCGCGGTGAGATCGTGCGGTTGTCTCTTATATCTCTTTCTTATCTTCTTTTATCAGTTAATCTTTTATTATTTTTATTAGCGACGTTATCATAAATTTACTCCTTTTCTTTCAGTTTGTTTTTATCAACTTATATTACTTCAATTTAATTTAATTGATTTTTATAAATATTGTATTTTAAGGATTTTATAGGTTAGAAAAGGAAATTTTAAATGATAAATGGTTTATTTTGCAAAATTTTTTGTTCTTTTCTTTTTGCATAACATTGATTTGTTTCTGATTAATTTTAAATTAAATAATTAATTATATTGATTTGAAATTATTGGCTTACTTCCTTTTGCGATTCATCCACATCCATAATGTAATTGAATGAAGGAAGTATCTCCCACTCTCCCACTTATCACTTATCATTATTCTCAGTATTGCATGGGATTGCGGCTATGACGAGCGTAGATCAAGGCTTTTAGTTTATTCAGTTAGAATTCAGTCGGTTGAATCTAATTGTTTTATAAGTTTTCGTTTCATTTCAGGATTTCCATCGGTGGGAAAGTCAACTTTATTATGTAATCTGGCGGGTGTTTATTCAGAAGTCGCTGATTACGAATTTACGACACTTACAACTGTGCCAGGTGTTATTCGATATAAAGGTGCTAAAATACAGCTCCTGGATTTGCCAGGGATTATTGAAGGAGCGAAAGATGGTAAAGGTCGTGGTCGGCAGGTTATCGCTGGTATTTTATTTTTATTTAAATTTATTTTTTATTTTTAAATGTGAATCCATTTTTATTTTATTGTTTTAATGTAATAAATTAAGTAATTCTTAATTGATTGACGATTTCAGTTGCTCGGACTTGCTCGTTAATATTGATGGTACTTGATGTAATGAAGCCATTGCAGCATAAGAAGCTTTTGGAGCATGAACTTGAAGGTTTTGGAATTCGTTTAAATAAAAGGCCACCAAATATTGTTTTCAAACGAAAAGATAAGGGTGGTCTTAATTTGACATGTTTGGTAAATTTTTTCTTGACATTTTCTTCACTCGACTGAATCGAATTTATTACAACGATAAGAGGGAGGATTTGCACTGACACAACTAATGCTAACTGTTTTACTCGCTCGAACTTTATTAACAAAAGGCGTATTTATGATTAGCTCGGCGATGTTTAATTTGTTCTTTTTATAGAAAGCACAGCTTATCTCTTAAAATTTATACTCTGCTCTTCTCTTCTCTTCATTCATTTTTTCATGCTCCGAATAACTTATTTCAACAACAAATAATGATCGACTTTTTTTTTTGCTAATTATTCGTTCGCTCAATAATATAAAACTTTATTAAATAAATAATAATAATATAGTTTAAGAGACTGCTTTATGACTGCTGAAAATTCTCTACTGTTTCCGGCCTTAAATAGTTCTCTACTTCATGTGTCCCTTTCTAATACCCATATGCATGTCTCATTTTAAACATTTTAAAGAGAATGGAGTGAGAAAAAGACGTGAATGCTGGAGGAAGAAAAGAAAACGTTTAAGGTAGTGAGGAAAATAAAAGCCTCAAGTGAGTGAGTCATGCAAATTGGTAATTCAGGTAGCGCAGTCGGAACTGGATGTTGAGCTCGTGAAAACGATTTTATCCGAATATCGAATACACAATGCCGACGTGACATTGCGCTGTGACGCAACATCCGAAGACTTAATCGATGTCATTGAGGGAAATAGGTGCGTTTTTGATTGTCTTCGTTCTAAAATTCTTTTAACTGGTGCGTTTCGTCGTAAATATCACTCATTCATTGATCCGCTTATTACATAACATATATTTATTCCTTGGTACACGCATGTAATTTTACACATCAGTGAAAATTCTTTTTTCTCACAGCCAACAGCCTTTAAAATAAACTTTCTCCCGAAAATCATAAATAAATGTAATAAAATACTGTGAACGATTCTATTGCCTTTTTCGCTTCCCTTTCTAATGGAAAAGTTGACGAATGAGAGGGAGGAAAGTGAAAAAATAAATTCTAAGTTAATGGAATTTTTATTACCACTTAAGGTGTGTGCGCAGTTATTATTGCCCTTGTTATTATTATTATTTTTACTATTATTTTATTTTTGTTTATCGTTATTGTAGTTCTTATTTACCATTTACCATTCTTATGTAATATTTTCTATTTGTTATTATTGTTATTTATCAGTATTTATTGTTTGTTATTTATTATTTATTAGTTTTTATTTTTTGTGAACAAACTATTATTTTCAGGATATATATTCCGTGCATCTATGTCCTCAACAAAATCGACCAAATATCAATTGAGGTTCAAAGCCTATATTCTCCTTTTTTTATATTTTACATATTTTATATTTTGTATTTATATTATTATATTAATATTATCCAATTGTATTGCATTCGGAATCGAAAACTGTTGATGATCTTTGTTTCAAAATCCACAAATCACTTCAGAAGGATTTCAAACTGTAAAGCAGCCATCATTTTTGCTCCATTAGCATATTTTATATTTTGTATTTATTATTATATTTTATATTTTGTACATATTTTTACGTTTGTTTCGCAAATTTGCCATTGCTGCCAAGCAGTTATATTTCGAATGTTGTACTTGCCATATGGTTATTTCTCATTACCATTGTTATTTTCAGGAATTGGATATCATTTATAAGATACCGCATTGTGTGCCTATTTCTGCTCATCATAAATGGAACTTCGATGATCTTTTAGAAAAAATCTGGGAATATCTCAACCTTGTTCGAATGTTGGTTCTATTATCTCTTATAACTATGCGGTACCGTTGGTTTATTTAATCTTTCTCATTTGCACGTTTCTCTTATTTGTGTTTATTGATTATTGGACGTTTCAATCATATTTTGATGATTAGGTTTGTTGTACGTCTAGGTTTTGCATATTTTTAGTGATTCTAAAGCATTAAATCGTTATTTTCAATTTAATTTAGTTATACAAAGCCTAAAGGACAATTGCCCGACTATAATGCACCAATTGTATTGCATTCGGAATCGAAAACTGTTGATGATCTTTGTTTCAAAATCCACAAATCACTTCAGAAGGATTTCAAACTGTAAAGCAGCCATCATTTTTGCTCTCCATTAGCATTTCATTTATAGCAAACAGAAATCTTTACTGAATGCTGGTTGTTACCCGGTTCCTAAGCCAAGATTTTTTTTCCTGAAATTTTATCAAATAGTGAGAATCTTTGCTGGCTTGTTTTTTCACGTATTTCACGTATATTTTTTCAGTTTCTTTTCTTTCAGCGCAGTTGTTTGGGGTAGCTCAGTAAAACATAATCCACAACGAGTTGGCAAAGAACATGTTTTAAACGACGAAGATGTTGTACAAATTGTCAAAAAGTAAATCTATTTTCTTAAATTATATATAATATGATCGTAGTTTAAATACAATAAGTGACTAGTTAAATATATTCGATATTAATAATCCTAAAAATTAATTACATTTATGAATTTCTCTGTTTTACTTATACTAAATGCTTATATCGTCGAGACACTTAAATTGTTATTTATCTAAAAAACAATATCTAAGTATCTATGAATTATAATGAAATATTTTTCCAGGATATAAAAAATGGAACAAATCGTTGCATAATTATGTGACGATAATGAAAATTTGCTCAAAATAAAGCGTTTCGCCTTTCATTCATCTTCATAATCTGCTTGATTCAGTTTCTTCAATTTCATTTCCTTAATTTAAACTTTTGGATATTTAAAAAAAAAACCAGAAAGGAAAGCAAGTATTTTGAAAATATAATTCGCTGGTCATTTCATTGGAAATTTCAATCAAAATATAAAATATATAAAAATATAGAATTTTTAATTTTTGCTGAATTTTAAAAACTTAAGATTCATCATTTTCAATCTTTTTGATTTGATAAAAATCCTCAATTAAACATATCAAATTTGTGGTTAAAAAAAACTTACACTCTTGACTATTTGCTTGCGTCGCAATTTTTCAGGTTCCGAATCGAGAATTTGTCGAATTTTCGATTCCTTTTTTTTTCTTTTATACTATAAATTATTACTATTTACATTAATTGTCATTAATTACTAGATACATTGAGGGTATAACATTGAGGGTGCATTTTAGATATTTTTAGGTTCTGATATATTTTTTCTAGATATATTTTTTTTAAGTTTTGTTTTTTCCATAAATAAAATGATAGAAACAACAACTTTAAATTTTGTGAATATTTTGTGATGCCATTCATAAAATTTTAATAAAGTACTATACTATCTATTAATTGTTAATTGTTATTAATAGCAAAAAAACTAAAACAAAGAAAAAAATAAAAAATAGGTTCATTTTAGCAATATTTATGCGAAAAAAGAAAAGAGGAACTAACTTCTAAACGATCTGACTCGAAACGATGACAAATTTTAGCGCATAAATCATCCAATAGCTTTTTCACAGTACTTGGCATATAAATATCTCTTCTGTTAGCTCGAGCAACTGGTATGTTTGCAAAAATACTGAGGAAATTTTCTTTCATAAATGTAGTGTAATTTGTGCATACTGGGATTTCATTGAAGAACAATAAAAAATTGTTTTAATTTCTATAATAAATTTTTATGATACCAATTTTTCGACAAAACAAACTTACTCCATATTCAACAGATCAGAAAAAGAAGGTAAAGGCATGCTGCTCTTTGGAGCAATAATCGATGTAATTAGTGATTCTAAAAATGTAAGAGTAACTTTATATATTTACAATTAAAAGTTGTTAATGAAGCAGAATTAATTAATTTGTAGCATCGTTTAATGGAGCACAGGCCATTATGTTATCTGTTTTAATTAATTTATAATGATTCTTAATTTCTTTGCTTCATTTCTAAAATCTTACGGAACAGCGATGGTACCAAGGAAATCCCACTAGTGAACGCTTCCGAAGGAAATGTCAATATTCCAGTAAACATTTCGAAAACAAATTCTCCAAATGCAAATACCATCATATCTTCGATAGTCTAGATTAAAAGTTTGAAGTCTAAAATTAACATCAAAATAATTTTAACGAATAGAAAAAACTTTCATTCAAAAAATAAATTCTTTTAAAAAATCACCTTAATAGCAGATATTTTTAACATTGAAGGACGAAAAAAACTTGGTTGACCAGCCAGTACTAAATTTAACAAAATCTATTAATATTAATGAAATATGAGCGAAAAAATTTCAGAATAAATCTTTATTAAAATAACGGGAACTTCAAAGTAAAGATTCTTTTTTAAAAAGTCCTCCATCAATTTCTATAGATTTACATAACATGAATTTTATTGCTTGAACCGTAAGTAAAAAATGATCACCTTCTTCAAGATCAATTAGTTCACATCCATTGTCCGTTATTACAACATTACCAGAATGCACATTAACTAAAAAACAAAGTTGCTAGAAAAAAGGAAAAAAAGTTATCAAATATTAAAGCTATTTTTCTAATGAATGCTTCTTTAATTTACAAAAATTTTAGAATATCATATTTGATTCTCTTCGCCTAAAAATTTGATTTCTAATGACCGAATTGCCTACTAGCTTCCACACTAAAAGCATGAAATTTTAAAAATAAATTGAAAAAATTATCCATTATTATTATTTAGCATTAATATATCGAATTTTCTTTCAATTTTTATTGATAATCTCATATGTTAGGAACGCTTCTGATCTTGGTTTGATGACCATTAATAATAATCTTAATTTTAATTCCTATAATAAGAAGGTAGCTAAAAAGTCCTCTAGAATCTTACCCGATCAGAGTTCAAGAATAAGTCATTTTTTTCCATATCAATATCTATAAAACTTTCGCTCGTCCTCATTTAGAATATAAAATATTTTCTACGCTGTTTAAATATATATCCTACATATATATCCTACTTCTTCTAACATCTCTCATCATTATGGTTATGGCTAGGCTGGTTCCAGTGGATACAAGAGGAAGACGTTTCCAAGCGGTATCTGATGCCATCGTCGACAGTAATAGAAGCCATTCCTTTTTTCCATCGTCTAAGTCCATATATTGCTGGTCCACCTATATGTTCAAAATCTTTTCTCACCGTATCAATCCAGGTTATGATTGGTCTACCTCGCTTTTGACGCCAACCATCACACGGTTCAGCAAATAACGAAATATGCGTCGACTCCTGTGGTGGATGATGGAGAACAGCGAAGACGATGTTCTGTGATAATATTACTAATGCAAGTGGTATTAAGTGGTACTGAAGGTGGAGGTGGATGCGATTATGTGATATTTTATCCACTCGATGGACCAGTAAAATGTACCTTAGATAAGAGTGGTAAAAGGTAGATTATTTCTTCCTCCCACACTCATTGGTCATGTCTAAGAGCAACATAGTAAGTTCGAACGAATCACGGCTATATAGATGCGAACTTTTGTTTTTATAGTGATTTCACGATGATTCCATAAAAGTCAATCGGAAGAACGCATTTCTAACTGCCGTGATCCAAGTTGTAATATCATCTTTTGCCTGGCCAATCGGTATTAAAGTGGACTCAAGTTATTTAAAATCGGGCACTTCCTCAACCGGCAATGAATTTACAAAAAAATGCATTTTATCAGCTTCTTAAGATGAAAAGACTTTCGTTTTATTTACATTGATCCTAAGTCCAATTCTCGCTGCAATTACTAAACATTATTTAACATTATTTGTATTTCGTCATAACTGTCAACAAAAAGGACTAAATCATCAACGTATTCAAGATCTATGATATGATGCCCTGGACTGATTTGGACTCTTGATCGATAAGCGGTTCATTATCTAATCTATCCCATAGAATATTGTAGAGGAAAAGATAACCTTGACGGACACCAGCTCTTATTTCGAAAGAGTTTGTAGTTCCCCATATACACAAATCTGCGCTCATAAAATTCCTTTATGAGTCGAATGATCTTTTCTGGAACATCATCGCATTCCATCACTCTCCACAATGGCGTTATATCAACTGAATCGAAGATAGACGCGAAGTTAATGAAATATGCGACAAATATTTGAAGCGATGTTCCAACATCTTAATGTGAATATATGGCCAGCATAAGCATACCTTGGTCTGAATCCAGCTTGATTAGTGCGCATGCATCCTGCTGTCCCGTACTTCTGTAAGTCTGTTGAGTAAAAGGGAAGCAGAAATTTTTGCTGAGACTTAGGCTGATTCCTCGGTGATTGTCCCAGTAGTCCTGCCACCTTTCTTAGAAACTGGAAGCAGAATTACTTTGCTTCAATCATCTGGTAATATTTCTTTTTTCCATACTAGAGAGTACATTTGTTGAAGGTGCTTTATGAAGAATGATGGACAACATTTGAAGAGTTCAGCACGAAGACCATCTTCTCTCGGAGTCTTATTAGCCTTAAGCTTATGGACAACAGAGATTATTTTTTTTTCTGTTGGAGGCTTGCGATTGTAAGCGTATGGTCCGGCGAACGCATCCTATATCAGAGATAATGGGTAACAGATGGCGCTTCATGGCTAAATTTGGCCTCAAAGAATTCTTTACATCTTATGAGGCGGTCCTTAATACTCTTGACCGGCACGCCATTGCTGTCCCTTACCATTTCACTGATCGTTTTCCGAATTATAGTTGCTTTATGAAAAAGATGGAATAGTTTCCTATTACCGCCTAATCGAGCCGCCGTCTCTATTTTCAAAACCATGTCACTCCAATATCTTACTATCTATTATTAGTTATTACTGTATCAGACTTAAATGATTTGGATTCATTAAAATCAGGAAAATACGACTTCCACTTAAAAAATATTATCTGGCAGTAACGGTCTAAACTTTCTTAACTTTTGTGATTCTTCCTTGAACTCCACGAGACAAAAATATTGACCTGAAAATTCGGAAACCAATTTATGAGAACAAGGTAATATCTCATAAATCCGTAACATTAATTATTGGAACAACCTGCCAGATATTATTTCTCTGCCATTTCGAGTTTTAAAAATAAATTGTATGGAATTAATTATCCATGATATTATTTAAAATAATCACACTAATCATTCATTCTCACCAATATGAAGCAAATTTTAAATTTTTTTCTTGTTTTGTGCTTTACTTCGACATCTCATCACATTTATTTTTATTCATTATATTATTAAAATTATACCTTATGTTATGATATAGTTATGTTATGATATAGTTTTTATATGATTATTTTACAATTATATAGTTTCTAACTATCTTCTTTAAGATAAAATTAGAAATAAAAAAAGTCTTTGAAAGAAAGATGAAAGAAATCTTTTATATTAAAACCAGCGTCTTTTCGTTATTTAGAAATAGACTAACGATAGGGAATAGATAAAGCGTTGAGAAATGACAAAGCTTCGAGAACTTGACGACATATTAAACGAACATCGATTAATTCTAACGATGTTAGTTGATGATCTATGCAGTATTTCTTCAAAAATTCATCCTTCCAATGACTCTAAAATTCAGAGGACAACAAAATTAATCAGTAATTTAGTATTTAAGTATTTTTACTAAAAAAATTTAAATGAATTACTCATTGATTGATTAGATTGATTGACTGATTGGAATTGATCCCCATTATCGAAAATTCAATCTTTTTGGTAGAAAATGTACTGACTCAATAAAAAACCTTTCTTACCTTATGTAAATAATCGCGAAGAGTTCCAGATGGGAATAATGGATGAATGAAGAGAATACCGCCATCGTTGGCCCAGCATTCCACACATTCATTCAAATAAGGAAACTGAATCGTTCGGAAAAATTCAAGTGCTTCATTTAAACAATCCACACTACTCGTTTTATCTGGGCCATAACATATACCACTGAGCAGATAATCGACTTTGCCACATTTTACTTTGTGAATTGCCTTTCCGTATCGCCAACCACAATAAGGAATCAGACCCAATACCACCCATCGCTGCTTCTCACGAACCGATAGCAAAACCCATTCCAAGTGATCTTAAATAAATATAATTAAACAATGAACTAAAACTGAAGATTTTAGAGATTTTTTATAGCTTGATCTAAAATTAAATGGATAAAAAAGAATAGGAAAAATTTTAAAGATAACCTCATTAAAATTTTTTTTATTTAATTAAACATCTAAATAAATCATAACTATGAAATTTCAAAAACTTTTAGATTTGAATGAATTTTCACAGAAGCACCTAAATTTCACCTAAATTTTGCTCTCTGGAAACCTCATTCGAAGAATTCAATAATAATAGTTTAAAAATAATAAAAAATAAGATCGTCCCTTTAAATCATTGATTCTTTGAAATTATAGAGAAATAAAATAAAGTAATACCTGAAATGTTTACATCAAATAAATTGAAAAATTGTACAGCAGCTGAACATGAGATGAGCAACAGGTGTGAACAAATTGAATCCAAAAATTTCTGCAATTAAACTTTATTTTTAAAGAAATTGAATTCGCTTGATATACCATATATAAGGATGCAACTCAACAGTTGTTTTTTTGCAACTGTTGAAAATTAAACAGCGAATATAAAAGATTGATAAAATAGCAAATAGAAAATGGCGCACATAAAAACATAACATAACAAGAAGGTTTCGCAATACCAAAAGTGATATCCAGCGACAATGTCGATAACGAAATTTATAAGAAGAACTGACCTGCAATGAATCAAGACGTTGCTTAATGAAAGATTCATTTTTATTGCCGAAATATTTCTTCGGTGGAACTTTCAGATCAATACGAAATTTTTTAAGACGACTGTTCAATTCACTGAAAAGTTTGCAAATTTTTATCCAATAAATGGAAATAAATAAATGATATACGTTAAAAAAATATTTATTGCCTTAATAATATAAAAATTTAGGACATTAATCTTCACAAATCTTACTTGAAGTCCGAATAACGTCGCCAGATGATCCACGCATACTTTGCGCCCAATTTTTCTTCGATTAAAATCTCGTATTCCTACGAAACATTAATGCATGCGATGTATGAAAAATTTCGTTACAATCTCTAGCAAAAAAAGCGTAAGATTTCAAAATATTTGTGGCACAAAGACTAAGACAAAATATAAAATAAAAACTATGCAAACCACATGATCGCCAACAATTTTCCAGCCTTTTATCGTACATTCTATCGGGTGCGTAATGTCGATGCATGAAAACGACATCGCTTCTCAATTTACATTCTCGCAAGAAAAGGTTCGTCCCAACTAAATGTTTCAATGGCTACTAAAATAAATTTATATTTACTTTCCATTAATTTAATACCATAAGAATAAAGCGAATCACTGCATAAGAAAAAGAAAAACAATTCTGACAATTCCCTCATCGTTCCAATTCAAAATAAAATGGAAGAATTTATTCAGAAAAATAAAGGGTAGGAACAATAATTGGAACATATGCCACACTATAGGAAAAAAAATTGGTCTTAAGGTTAATTTTCAATAAAATATGAACAATTTTAAAAAAACTAATAAAAAATGATAAGGAAAACAAAAGCCCATCGTGCAAACGCCGTTACAACTATACCAAACTGAATTATGAAACACGCATCGTTTAGCAAAACAACAAATAACTCTAAATTAAATGAAATTACAGCGCAGTCGATATAAATTATTCGTTCAAAATAATTTCAGCCTGCATTTTGTACTTCTTTATAAATGTTTAAGCATATAAAAATGTTTTAATAATAAAAATTTAAAAAATAGAACTTTTAAAGTCCAGCGAAATTCGATGTATTTCGTCACAGCCAAATTAGCCAACAAGGAATCAATAAAAAAACAGATTCACAAATAAAATTTAAGAAAGCCGATAGAAAAGCAAAGATTCCATGAAAATTATTCAAAAAATAAAAATAGGTTCTGGCTTTATTCGGACATTAATTTCAAAAATAATATAGGTAAACGAATGTTTATAAGATCATTTAACCAACAAAATATACCTTAAAAAATAATAACGGAGGTATTATTGAAACAAACAAGTGAAAATAAGTGAATAATGAATACAAATCATAGCAAAACAATTCAAAAAAATCATTACTGTGCAACTGAGTAAATCAAAAGATACCTAAGATCATTTAAGAAAATAATTTTTAATTAAAATAAATATTATTATTGAATGAATAATTAAAATTCTCTACCTTAAATAATTTTGGAAAATACTTCTATAACCAGTTTATTCTAATGAACGATAGGAAAAGTTCAATAAAAAACTGATTGTCAAGTAGAAAGTGACAATGATCCCTTGATGTCAAAATTAATGCGTAAAAACAATTCCATCTTAAAATTATTGTAAAATCTTATGTAAAATCTTATCTTATAAGAAATGTTTACAAAAATTATTACAAAAATCATTTGAAAAAATATGATAAGCTCTTCTGATTTTTGATTCGCACTACTCAATAAAATATAAAATCTTTTTTCAAATTATTTATGACCTTGAATAGCTGCGATATAATAAACGATGGAGGCCTTCATAATGCTTCAGTTTATCGGATCATGAAAGAGAACGAATGCAAAAAATTCCGCATATGTAAAAATTCTAAATATAAACTGAACGAAAGAAACATAAGAGACCGACTAGTATTATGAAACTTATGTAAATTCTTTGTTATGAAACAAAATTATGTAAAATAAAAGGAAATAACTAAGAATTATAAAATTGGAATTGTTAAATAACGAATTTGGTCTTCGTAGGTTTTTTTTCAACCACCTAATTAATAGGATTTAGGATATCGATCATTTTTTCTTTTGCATTTACTTTAGGCTAAAATGATTTAATAAACTTTTCATTCCAGCAAAATTTGTTCTCTCCTTAGAATTTTTATTGTTAAATTTAGAATGGTGGTGCGAATGCCATGTTTTTATTGCACACGACGTTTCGCTAAGGGTACGAAATCCGAAGTGGATGTGCAAAGGATTCCACATAAATTCTTTACGAGTGGGATTTTTTCTTTCGTCTTTCCGATGAAATTCACAATAAGGTTGTACAATGTCTTTATATTCTATAATGTTCTATAACTTTGTCTTTATATTCTATAATGTTTCCTCTGTATTTCAGAATCACTCCAAGATTTGTTACTGGAACAGACGTTGATTCGAAGACCAAAGAGCTCACCTTGCGACATACTTTTGAAAGAATTTTATCATTGATTGGGGTATGCCGAGAGACTGTCGATGATATTTTTGATGGTTTTTTGCAACATCTTATCTTGATTTCATTATCACTATTTATTTCCAGTTCGCAGTTAAAAAGTGATAGCCAGCCTCAATAAGAATTTTCTGTTAGCTTTATAGCAACGCCCTTTTTATATTTTTATATGAACTTTCAATAGCTCTAATAAGGCCTACAATGAATGTTTTTTGATTATCTTAATTTGTGTATGGTGATTCTATCTCGAAGTTGGCATGTCTCCCTTCCTCTAATGAGAGATTTTCGATGAATATTCTTAAATATTTTTGATATTGGCAATGCAATATAGATCCGAATAGGAATGGTAATATCCTCATGATAAACCACCATATTGCACCATAGAGTATAAGCATTAATATGATAGGAAATATCGTCAAATCACCATGTTCTTTGGCAATTCTTTGTCTTTAAGAATATGCATAATGTAGGAGGATTAGATTAGCAATTGACAGTTTCAATTCTTTAGCAAGATGCAAATATGCATAATTTTCCTAAGATAACAGTAGTTAGAAATACGTTTTTCCGGTTGACGAAACCTTTATGGAGCCATCGCAAAATTATGAAAGTCCGCATCTGTACAACCGCAATTCGCTCGATCTTGCTATATGGCTATGACCAGTGACCAATGAGAGTGGATGATATTAAGAAATTGTCTTTGAAACACTTATGTCTAATCTACATTTTACGGGTTCGCTGAGTGGATCTCACATCCACCTTCATATACCGTTTTATAGATACCGTCTGCCTTCGCTGGTTGGGGTTTTTCGTCGCTCACCGCAAATTTTGGCATATTTCGTTACCTGCTAAATTTTATGATGGGTCGCGTCAAAAGCGAGGTGGGCCAATCAAGACCTGGACTGATACGGTCAGAAAAGATTTTGATCGTATAGGTGGACAGCAATATATGGACTTAGACGATGAAAAAAGGAATGGTTCTTATTATTGTCAACGATAGCATCAGATCGAGGGAAAAGTCTTATGTCTTAAACACACTCTTCTTACCCTTCTACCCTTCTAGCCAATGGAGCTAGCCAAACCAGTAAGATTTGTTAGAAGAAAAAAAATTCTTCCTAAAATTCTGAATTTCACGTACTCCCACTATAAATATTTTCTATAACATCTCTTCTCGTTATCTGCTTATTAACTGTTCGGGAATACTATGAATTTCCCTCCTTTATCCGATAGAGATCCGAATTTTTCTGTTTTTGGTGCGACTTTTCAGTTCTGACCACGTCGGATTCGATGCTAAATTAGGCGAATTTCTGAACTGCTAACAGTTTTAGAGTTTAGCAGCATAATTTTTCATTCAGTTGGAGAGAGGGAAAATCTCTCTGATAAAAAATTAAAAGCATTTGCGTCTTGCACACAACCACTCAGTACTTCGTACGAAAATCGCAAAACATCGTCTACAGTAATATGAGATTCACACCACAATTCCAAAATTGACAATTAGAATTCTATACAGAAAATAAATGTTGTTGGATTGGAAAATTCTGGAAATTTCACAATTATTAGATCATTTGAGCCTAAAATAAACGCAAAAGAAGAAATAATTCGATATTCTAAATCCTATTATGAATCCGAATTGTTGAAAAAACTCAGAGACAAGGAGTAGATTATGGAAAAACAAAGATCGGATCATAGCGCCACTCTATTATTCAACATATTCTCCAAAGCTATTAAAATTTCCATTATCATAATTTGAGTCCGGCCGATTTTCTATATTTCTTTCGTTCCTTTTTATTTCAATTAACTTAGAAAATTTTTAAGGAAATTTGATAAATTAATAAGTAAATAGCCTTAAAAATCCTTCATAATAAAATTAACTGAAAAAAAATTTTAAACCAACTTGATCTCGTTATGAACACAGTTTTTACAGCATGCTACGGTGATATTGGATGCTAATATTTTGGGCAATCTTGGCTTTTCATCACACGGTGACCGCTCAAAAAAATGTGTAATATCCTCTGAAAGAATATGTTTCGCCTGCGAAATCATATTCTCCGAATTTTGAGATAAATGAGTCGTGGAATTCAACAAATCGAGAAGTTGAGATATTGTTGAATGAGCATCCCTAATATGTTGTAAAAGATGATTACGCTGTGAAAGCAATTCATCTGCTCGAATGCTCATAGCAAAGAACTTGCACCGCCACATATCAGACGAAATTTCCAATGCCTCTGCCCTATCATGATCATTCTTTAGCTGTAAAAGGTATTTTTAAATAAATTAAATAGTTAAACTGCTTTTCTAAAAAATTGTTGAAATGATTCTTTTATGACAAATATTTGTGATAGGACAAAAAATTAATCAACATTAATTAATAAAGTTAATGATAATGGAAAAAAAATTGATAAAATGAGATAACTGGGAGCTACTGAAGAATAAGAAACAAATAATTAAAATAAAAAATCAAATAATCCATGAATTAAAGACTTTGCTAGCATAATGGTCAACAGCCGAAGCAAGCCGCACTTTATCCTCGCTAAGTGAATGCAAATGACAACTTAGATCATCACCAACTGAAGCAACAAGTAAACGTTTCAATTCATCAGTTACACTTTTTTCAATCTAAAACTGGATCCATATTTTCTTCATTCCGTAAAACAGAATTATATGAAATTTTAATAGAAAAAAATTTAATTTGACAAAATTTTATTTTCCTGAAATCATTTATTTTTCTTGGACGTAAAAAGAAAAAATTTTTTCACTTCATCAATTTTTCAACCTTTCTATATAAATACCTATTTACCTTTACCTTTAAATCATGCTTAAGACGTTGCGATTCGCCATCAGAACCATTTTGGAACATGGTCCCAGATGTATAAATATCGCCATCCTTTTTCTCATCAACAACTAAGCTAGTAGAATCAGATATATCCATAGAAATTCCACCTAGAACCGCTCTTTATCAATTTTTGCATCGATTATGTAAAGAAGTAAGATATCTTGGCATTCAACGTAGAACCTGCCTATAAGCAAGTGGTTAGTGCTCACCATTTCTGGTTGGCATTAATTATTCAACAGATCGATATTCCAATGCAAAAAAATGTAAAACGTACAACTTTAATTGTCCTTTAGATGTTTTACAACTCAAAAATAAAGAATAAAGAAATAAGTAATGATACTTCGCTCACGTTCATGAGGTCCCATAAAATGATCAAAATCGGAAGAAGCTAACTGCTTTTCATTAGCGAATGTATATGGATATAATACAGGAATAATAGCAGGTGGACCTGTTTCACGATTCGTGGATGTTGTAGCTCCATAAAAAAAGAATTTTTATGAAATTTATATACAATGAACCCTGCTAAATGTCGTTATCAACCACTTTTCATTTTAACATTTTATATATTTTATTAAAAATTTCAAATAAATACCTTGTATGGTTCCCATGGTATAATTTTCTGTGATTTATTTCGTGTTATCTCCATCTGCAAATTATGGTTTTCTTTATAATTGGCGAAACAATTAAAAGGCATATAATTTGCATTACTTCGTGCTTTACAAAACTGTAGATTAATTAAAAAATTGTGCACCTACAAGAAACTACAGCTTTGGATTTAGATATAACTACAACAGTTTTGAACCCAAATACCGTAAACAATTAAATAAATAAACTGCGCCTTATAACTGGCGAATATACAAAACAAAAATGAAGTGATTCTTGTTGCCATTTTACAATTCATTAATACATTTAATTCTGATAGAAACCCCTCTTATAGAACAAATCATAGTTACTCTTCATTTTAAAATATTAAAAACCAACGAAGGTATTTGGATGAATTTTAATGCCAAGTGAATAATAAAAATTTTATTTAGTGAAAAAAATGCATATAAAAATAAAAGATGAATTCAAATAAAAGGCAATCATTTTAATTCATCATAAAAAAATTAAATAACAAACGTGAAATCAAGGATTCATTTCGACAAAATTAGATCAATTAATGAAATCTTTGAAAAGAAATGAAAAAGAATTGTCGAAAAATATACATGGAAAGAAATTATAAATATATAAATTTAAAATCTAAAACTTAGTCTGTAAATTTAAATTTTACGAACAAATCAAACAAAACTTTGAGATCAAAAAGAATTAATTTAATTCGTATTATGTGTTTTCGACTGAAGGTACAACGAAAATGGCTGAATTACCCGTAACCAATCGTTTAATGCAAAATATTGTATCCTTAAAGCTTGATCCATTTTATCCTATAAGAAAAATCTTTTTATCTTATAGAAAGTGCAAATATTAAAAATATTAAATATTAAAAAATAATGAAAAAACACTACTTGTTCTCATTATAAAAAAAAATTCTAAAGCAAAAATTATATATTTTCAAACTACCTACCTTTACCATTTTCTCAGCGGCATTCTGATGTAATTTATAAATTTCTTCTACAATATCGACAAACGATACAAGCAGTTTCATTTCCAGAGGCCTAAGAAAAGTAGCCAACAATCGACTACTTAAAACCAGATTTCTAGCAAATCGAGCTGCTTCAATTTCACGAAAATTTGAGGTGGATTTCCTTGTATCCGCATACATTCCAAACGTTGTGCCCTTCACGTCATTAAAAATTATTGTGAATTATAAATTTTGATTCACTTTCACTAGTACTGACAAAGAAAATTGAAATGATTGAAATTTTCTTATAACATTTTTTTCTTAATGTAAGAATAAAAGCGTTACCTTTTGTTCTGGATCAAATTTTGCACGAAACGAGCGAATCACAATGCCAATAAAGGAATGCAAAAGGGCACATTTATCAGGAATAACTCTCGTCGTTGCAGCAGCAAATATTGTTACACAATATTGTACGATGAAAATAAATTGTTCACTCATCTATAATATATAATATAAAATTCATCTAAATAATCACTAAAGCATAAAACTTTTGCTCACCATTAAAGTTGTAATATGAAAATTGTAATATGAAAACCTTATGCCAAACAAATTAAATAACAATGAATGTCCTATATTAAATTAAATTAAATTACTTTTCGAAATGAAATATTTGAAAAATATCATTACTTTAAGTGAGATTAAACAAATCCCATCTTCCATGTTTGAAATAGAATTTATAGCTTCATTCCACAATTTCATAAAATTTTCGCTGTTAAGAGGCTGTTCCCAAGGCAAATTTGACATAGTTTTACTGATCGGTGTAATCATTTTCGTGAAAGTAGAATAAAATTCATCCTAAAAATGGAAAAATCAAAAAAAAAAGAAATATTTCGAATATGAAAATTTTTTCAACAAAAATTTATGAAATACATTTTTAGAAATACTCACTTTGAAAGAAAGGTGAACAGCGACAATTTTTTGGCGAAAGTTGCGCTCACTTGATGCTTTTAATAAAATTTCTTCAACAGATTCAGGAAGAAGAACTAATGCAAAGCAAAGCATTGATACAACCAAATCAGAAGAATCCTCTTTTATAGAACGGCACATTATAGTTAATAAGATGGATATGGAATCAATTGTTGAACCTTGCTAAATTTGTTAGATAATTAATGCATTATTATGCATTATTTTCATAAAATGTAGAAACAAATTAATTTGAACGATGTGAACTTTTAAATTTAAACATTTTTTTCAAACAATATTCACCATTACTGGCTGGTCGCTCCGCTACCACATCATGTCAGAGAAGTCATTTAACGAGGGAAGTCACATGGCGATAGAAGTAAAAGTGAGTCTAGATTCCCACTTGGATTTTTTTGAAGAAAAAAATTCTTCTAACTTATATCTTATATCTTTCTGAAGATGGACCTCAACATCGAAGATGCGAAATGAAACGAAACCCCCTGAACTAAACACTTCTGTTTTCGCCGCCTAGCGACACGGTAACTCGATCGAATTCGAACTTTACCCATTTTCGATGATATCATTTCATTAAGCTACCGATGCACATCTGATGTGGACTTTCTTGAATATTGTTAAAATGAATTTTTAAACAAAACTAACTTTTATCAAAATATTGGCAGCGATTAGTAAACAACGAATATCACGGCCATAATGTGTGATAGATTTTGGTTGGTGGTGAATGAAAGACCAAACCAATTTTCTACAAATAAGTATATATATAATGCATAAATTTAAAAAAATAATTTCAAAAGGCAGAAAAAAATTTTTAAAAAATTGCTTCCTCACTTGAAAAAAATATCTACCACATTTGCCCACTGATTCTCACCGCTAAGTTGATGAAGAAGTTCAAGCAGATTTCTTTCTTTAACAGAGGCTACGTTTTCCAATCGATCATTACGAGTTGAAATAACCACACTTTGCCACATATTTCCTACTTCCATGCTACCTATGTACTGAAAATAGCATTTTCACCAAAAAAACAAAACAAAAAATAAAAATTGTCAGTAGTTTTTATTGATTTATGATTATTTAACGAAAAAAAATTAGTGAAGAAAATTGAAATTGAAAATTGAAACTTTTCACAACTAAACGACCAAACTTTGACAAAATAATCAGCAAGTTGATCACACGTCGTCCCATCTAATGGTGGTGAAGTTCCTTTTCGAACTGCTTCATTTAATGTGACACGGTTGCTCACAATCTCATCCATCAAGGTTAGCCAAAAGCTTCCTTCAGAAGCAGAATGAGATGAACCATGGGAAAATTGATGAGTTGCTGCGATTCCGACAAGATTCTATAAAAATAATATCAAAAGAAAAAACTTATTAAAGTTTTAAAAAAATAACCATAATCCTAACTAAAAGTAAAGTTAATAATATGATCACAGAAAACTACCTTTACTTGTTTTTTCAAAAAGCCTGATTTCCCGACTGGAATAATTTTAAATGAAGAATTAGATTTTTTCAGCGCTGTATTATGTTCCCTCGATTTTTTCGCAGTATGTAAGTTCGCTTTTGGTTGTGAATGCATATTGAAAATATTACCAGCAGTGTTAACCACAGACATTTGGTCGACCCACATTTTCTTCTGGAAAAAATTTTCAAATTCTCAGCTCAAAAAATTCTTATGCTAGGTATATAAAGACAGAAGCGAATAAGCGAAAAAAATCTGAAAAGGCTAAAGCAAATTAAAAAAAGTAATATAATAATATAATAACTCGCTTAAGCAATTTCATTACATGATGTTTTGGAAAATAAAAAACAATAAAAAAAGGAAAATTTTTATTTTTGAAAAAAATAAAAAATTTTACTTCCTTGCTTTTCTGTGATTTTTTAATGGAATCGATTTTATTAGACAAAGCTGATTCTGAACTATGTCTTGAACAATCAGCTCGATCATCGACACTAAACGGACATACACAATCATTATTTTTCAAGGAAGATGCTGAATCGCAAAGAAGGCCAGAATTTGTCTGAATGACTGATGAAATATTATCTTGAGATTTATCTGGCTCTTCTTCAACATAAATTTTGAGTTCAATTTCCTCATCTCCATCATCGTCCCGAACTAAATTGGTATAAACTTGAAAAAAGATAAAATCCAGCGAAAATTCTTCCAGAAACAATTGTTGAAATAATAATTAAAAAACAAATAGCCTTATTTTAAGACCGTGTTGAATAGAAATGGAATAAATAGAATGGATGATCATTGGAATTATCTCTTTTACTAAAATCTATACCTATTTTTATTGAAGAATCTGGTTCCTGAGATAAAAATTCTATGTTTTCATTTTCATTTTCTACATTATTTGCATTATCTGAGCTACTTTCAGATGTTATTTTCAACTCTTCCATTTTTGCTTCATTATTGCTTTTCACTATGCTATTATCGATTCTGGGATATTTGATTGTCTTCTTTTTCCCCATAACCTATAAGATTGAAAAATTTAATGTTATTGCTGCGTAAAACCACAATAAAATCGATAAAGGCAATAAAGTAATAATTTTGAATAAAA